GTGAGTCAAGAAATGGTATTTCATGTCCTCGAAGCAACAAATCACAGGAGCCTGCAAAGGTCATGGCTGCACATTTCCATGTGGTGACTCTCCTTTGCCATGCCCAGGAATGAATGAGATTCCTCTTCCTCTTCTGAACCGTATAAAACATATGCTATCAGCTAAAATTGCTGCTCTTCTAATTTCAATAAGTTTACAGACTTAAAACTGTATTTCAGGTGTTTCATTTAGGTTCCTTATCTACATTTAACAATGCAGCATCTGCCCATTAATAACTCCTCTGTGTCTTGTACTACTAGACCATGGCTTCTCAACCTAGCACCATTGACATTTTGAGCTGGATAATTCTCTGCTGTGGAGCTTATCCTGTGCATTGTAGGATGTGGAGCAGCTGTCTAACCAGTAGATGCCGATAGCAACCCCTCCCCAAGTTGTTACAACCAAAAGAAAAAGTGTCTCTAGACATAGCCAGTTGTCTCCTTAAGTGGGAAAATCATCCCAGTTGACTGTATTAGATTATCTTTGAGGGACATATCACTAAATATATAAACAAATGAGACTACAAGATTACTTGGAGGAGGTCAGGAACAGAGCCCCCTTTAAAAGGCAGGAAATGGAGAAGGCTGAGGCCCAAGTGGATGGGAAGTCAGGAGCAGAGAGAATTCCAGGTGAGCATTACTGGTGTTCCAGTGGGTTCCATCATGATGACTTGGGGGAGGGGCAGGTGAGCTCCATGATGCGGACCAGCCTTGATGACACTCCTCTGTGAGGCACAGCCCAGGGGTCTAATTGTGCCAGTGTATGGAGTAGGCACACTACTAGCCTCCTTCCCACCTCTTCCTAAGGGAAAGGTGTGCCCCTTAGCAAAGATATCTCAGAGGTTTTGTTGTTTTGTTTTGCTTTGAGTGTGTTTTCCTGAAGCTTTGTTCAGAAAACACGTATCCTGCCTCTGTTAAATACAGGTTCCTAATCTTGCAAATGCAAACCCCCTCCTATCTTCTGCAAGCCAAGCCTGGAGACAATGTGTGCCCCAGAAATACAGCTCATTGGCCATCCTCTCACCCGCATCCTTCTCTGCTCTGCACAGCTCAGCCCCCTGTAACTGACAGCTTCTGAACAGCCCGCAGGGGAATTCAGACACCTGAGTTACCCTTTCCTTTGAAATCCCCAAGAGTCAACACAAGAATCATTATTTATTCTGGCTCTTTACAGTTTCTTGGATTTTATTTTTTTTAATATCCATCACTTCTATTCCCTGTCTCCCTCTCCTCCACCCCATCTGAAAAAGCTGGAAGTGATAATGAAACTCTGTAAAGGCAAAGTCAGTTCATAACTCTACTGTCCAGAACAAGTCAAGCAAGAATGGCAAACTGTGGATGAGCTTGTGTCTAGGTCACTGCTTTTTAATGTGCTTAGTACTGACTGCAGCCTAATTCACCCAAACCCTGCATGAGAGAAAATCCCCTGACAGTGTACCTCCTGGAACCATCTCCCAGCCATCTTCTCTTCCTGTGACATGTGGCTTCCTCCGGGAGGAAGAGTCCGATTTAAAACGGGAATGCTTCCTGTGACTGCGGAACCACTCCCTTTGCTTGCAATATCACAGGACTCTGGTTATCTCACTGAAATCTCTGAAACCTGAAAGCCTGCCCGTGTGAATTGATGGCAGTGGCCCCTCCTCGGTAGAGAAATGTAGGTAATAGAAATGCATTTTGCTGATGAAGAGGCCTTTCTGTTTGTGTTTCTAGGATGCAGCTCAGCTGTAAAAGCTCTCTTCTTTACATAGACGTGAAATGGCTGTGACACGTGCGAGGAGCGACGTGGTTTAGCATTTCTCCCGAAATGGAAAGCCTTCTCCTGATTTGGAGAGCTCTTTCCGTTTGCACCTCCCAGGACCCCAGCCCAGTGTGTTGGAGATGGCAACAGGACAGGTGTAAACTCCTGCACAGGGGAGGAGCTGACAGCCTCTTGTTAATTCTCAGTCCATAGGGGCTTTGTTGAATGTGATCATTCAAGTGGTCTCGTGAGCTGCCATCCTTAAAGGACCCAGTGGACAAAGCCTCATTGTGAAGTGTGTGGACATCTTTAATTTCTAGATTTTGAACTTTCTGATTCTTATCCCGAAGTCACATCTTTCTCTTCCTATAAGGAACAATGACTTCACTATTCCATCCTCAAGCCAACTAAGATAGAAATCTTTTAAATGGAATTTAAGCCCTAGAGGGAAGCAAAAGTATGAAAAGCAAATCATAGGAAAGCTTTTTCCTTTTTTTTTTTTTTTTTAACCCACACATTGAACGCATCCCCTCACCTATGTAATTTTCTTCCTAAGCAGACATTTCTTGCAGTGGCCAGCATGTCTGTCCCTCCTTGCCTGCCCGGGACCATACCAGAAAGCACCACGTCCAAATTTCAGCAGCCCCTTGGCTTCTAAATGGGGAGTGTATTATTCTCTTCTTTTCTAAAAAGGTTTGAGCATTACCTTCTTGGAGAGATAACACATATTCACAATTTTATACAAGTTTAGAAAGTGTGTGACATTCACTATTCACTGATTTGATTATTGACACTAGTTAAACAGTCATGCATTAAACCCAGTGGAAAAAAAGTACTGAGAATATGTTCTAGAGGGTGGCACTATTTTGGAAGACAAATCAATCTGTTGGTTTGCTCTGTGCTTCACTGGCAACACAATCCTGCCACACACTTTCCTTGTTTTGCTTCCATCCTGTGGCTAAGAGAGCACCCTGGGAGAAGCCATGGTGTAGCTAGAGGACCCTCCTGATACCAAGATTTCTTTGTGATTGCTATGGTTACTGTCTCAGCCAGCTTGAGCTGCTATAACAAAATATGTAAAGTGGGGGCTAAACAACAGCATTCATTTATCCCAGTTCTAGAGGCTGGAAGTCCAGGATCAAGGGACCAGCAGATGTGGTGTCTTTTGAGGGCCTTTTCCTGGTTCCCAGATGGTTGACTTCTTGCTGTGTTCTCACAAGGCAGAAAGGGAAAACTCTGGTCCCTTCAATTTGTGATAAGGATACTAGTCCCATTGTGAGGGCTTTTGCATCTTATCTTCACCTACACCTAATCACCTCCCAAAGCCCCGCCTCCAAACACCCTCACCTTAGAGATTAGGGCCTTGACTTATGAGTCTCGGGCAGCCACAGGCATTCAGGCCATGGTGTTCTGCAGAAAACATCCTTGTGCTGTGTTTCCATCCAAAAGAGTGGGCCAGTCTCACATAGCGAACCATGTGCACTGTGACAAGACTGGTTCACTTACATTTTTTTTGAAGTGTATTTAAAAGACTGTGCTGATTTCATTGATAGGCTGTGCACAGATGCAAATTCGTCTTTGAATGATTTAGAACTGGCTTTGGTTAAAAAACAACAAGGACATAAGAAGATTCCTTCATTGAGTGTTCTTGTCAGAAAGCTGAAATTGAGTGACATTCTTACTGAAAATGACCTTTAATAGGATGTCCAACATCCATCTGTGAGATGTCATTCATCTCTGAGATTTAGCCTTGACTTAAACTAAGCTGTATCAGAACTGGGAAAAGAAGGCTTGAGTTTTCAGGGTTGCTTTTTTTTAAAAATAAATGATGAAATTCTTGAATTACTTACGACAGTGAAATAACTTTACATTATCTGTATCAACACTACCTTTTTTAATCTACAAGGATATGAAGTAAGCCTATATTTTCTTCCAGTAAAATTTTCAGACCTTACGAAGAGTCTGAAATATAGTTGTAATTTTGTATTTATACATATAAGTATATATACACACATGCACATATACTGTATATGTACAGAACATATACTATGAAAAAGCATAGTGTATTGCATTTAGACTATATTTATTTTTAAGCATCATCAATAAACACAAATAAAGCAGATAAATAACTTAGTACTTCATCCTAAAATTAAGGGTTATTTTGTTTTATTGTGATTCTTCTCAAACGTAAATATGGGAATATTTTTTCTATTTATTTCATGTCTACCCTCATCATACTTGTTGCCTTTATTTTTCACAAAAGACTAAGGCTGTGTATAATCAAAGATCAGAATCATTAGTACAGTTTTTGATATTTTAAATAAAAGTAATACAACAAAAAAATTTAAAAATGTAGGAAAAATGAAAACAAACAGTTCATTAATGTTTTTATTTCATTACATAGGTTTTATGATGGATTTTACATGCAATAAAACACAAATCCATACCAATTTGTATACTGCTTTGTTCACTTAACTGTTAATGTAATCATTTACCCAAGTTGCTACAAGTTCTTCAAAATTATTCTTTTTAATGGGCTACTTTATATGCCTTTGTGAAATAAGCCGTAATTTCTAAATTATTTATAATTAATTTTCAACCACAAAATTTTCCATTATTAGATTCAACTCAAAGCAAAGTTAACTACCAGAATTACTATAGGATCTAGTGTGCCTATGCTATGTTAATGCATCTAATGAACCATAGCAATTTTTTTGTTTATTCTGTCTTTTGTTTGAAGCCTAAAGATACAATCATAGTACTCAAAATAAAACAAGTTATATAGGAATTTATCAGAGTTCACACATATTCATAAGAAGTGAAGGCATTTGATCATTACTAACTACATTATGTCAGAGGTATGCTAACTATAAAATAAGCCACCTTGATCTACAACCTTCTTCACAGCCCACTCAAAATCAATCCTTCTCCCTCCTTCCTGTAGCAATGGCCTAGGATTGTTCTTAGGGAGCTTATCCATTCTTCTGCCAGTTATGTTCACTTTTGTACAAGCTCCAACCCCCTTCACCCTCCATCATAAGCTCCTGGTGGGCAGGAATGGCTCTCCTATTTTGGGAAGGCTACTGCATTACCCTACATGGAAAACATGTTCACCAAATGCTATGACACCCTGGTTTTGTTATGGTCTGTAATGTTCACAGAAGGAAATATTGGGAAGTATGTTGGTGTTAAAGATGTTTACTCTCTTGTTTTTCTTCCTCCAGTGGGATGGAGTAGGACCTCTTCCCGACTGTGCAGAACCACCAAAAGGGATCCAGATGCTGTGGCACCCATCAATAGTCAAACCCTACCTCACACTGCTCTCTGAGTGCTCAAATGCAGACACGCTGGAAGGGGCAGCAGGCGCCCTGCAGAACTTGGCTGCAGGGAGCTGGAAGGTATGACTAGTTCATTACCATAAAAAAGAAATCTGGGATTATGAGCACGACCTTAGAAAATAGCACAAGTCCAGTTCAGAGGAATGCAATTGTAATGAAGTTGGGTTTTTTTGTTTTGTTTTAATATATTGTATTGATTTATTTTTATTTTTATTTTTTTTACAGAGAGGAAGGGAGAGGGATAGAGAGCTAGAAACATTGATGAGAGAGAAACATCAACCAGCTGCCTCTTGCACACCCCCTATTGGGGATATGCCCACAACCAATGTACATAACCTTGACCGGAATCGAACCTGGAACCTTTCAGTCCTCACGCCGACGCTCCAACCACTGAGCCAAACCAGTTAGGGCAATTGTAATGAAGTTTTTGAGGATGTGAGAGAAAGACCAGTTACACTGAACTGTGGGACTTAGAAAAGGTATTCCTTTGCAAAATTCTCCTTAAGGGCTCAGGGGTCCCTGAAGATCAATACAAAGCACAGACAGCAAGATGTAAGTGTAGTCATTGAAAATGCCATGATGTGCTCTCTATTCTGCTTGTGCATCTGAGCTACTTGGTTTTCAGATGAGACTGGGACATGCTGATGCTTTGCAAAGCACTGTTGTTGGCTGTTAAGGGAGCTAATACCCAAACATCTTGTATACAAACTCATGTGATTGCTGTGATGTGATATAGATGGTCCTGTTCCCAGAGGAAAAAAAGTCCTTGAATTTTTAAATTATTGGCTTTCAGAGAGAAATAGTATTGCTAGTTATCGCTGGCAAAAATAAATATGTAATTTAAAGTAAAACAAATATGTGATTCAGAATATTAGAATCCTTATAAACACACACTGATTGGTTTTCACAGAAAATTTCCATGACCTTCCTTTTGGGTAGGAAGAGATTCACCATAACAAAGAATGCTTGAGTTTGATCACTAATTATTGCATGAGATAACTCGCCTTAGCCTTATTGCATAAAAAAAAAAAAAAAAAAGTAACTTCTTAGAAGAATGAGTGCATATGGGGAAAAATATTAAAAGAGGAAGTTTGGGCATCTGCCATCCATTTTTCATTCATTTAACATTAAAGCCTCAATTTGAAATATGCATAATAACTCCTTTAACATTTTATTGAAAACAATGTTAATATAGACACATAACTACAGATAATTCTCAGAAGTTTAATACTATAGGCACCACACATACTGGCCTCAGCATTGTCATGCAGTCACACCCTCTCCTAATTATACAATCCAACATCTGATCTCCTGTCTCTCTCTCCTCTCTCTCTCTCTCTCTCTCTCTCTCTCTCTCTCTCTCTCTCTCTCTCTCTCTCTCTCTCTCTCTCTCTCCCCCTCCCTCCCTCCCTTCCTCCCTTCCTTCCTCCCTTCCTCCCTCCCTTCCTTCCTTCCTCCCTCCGTGTGTGTGTGTGTGTGTGTGTGTGTGTGTGTGTGTGTGTGAGAGAGAGAGAGAGAGAGAGAGAGAGAGAGAGAGAGAGAGAGAGATATCTTTTGTTTCCATTACTACAGTTTCGGCACTAGCACTACCTTCTCTCTCAGGTGTGACCTCCCAATTTTGGGGGCCTTGTCTTTGACAATATTTCCCAGGATCTGGCTACTGATGCCTGGGAGGCTCACCCTTCTTATTCTGAATCTTAGGAAGGAACATACTATCCCTTTCCTCCCCTGCTCTTAGGCAACCCTAATGCTGTACTGGAAGAATTTAGGTTGGGGGAGAGGAAGTGAAGTTGTCACTTGCTTTCAACCATAGAAATATTTAAAAAGCAGAGTCACACCAGGCAGAATTCTAGAGAATAGTTTTGTATGAGTAGAAAAGAGATAACCATGGAAATCATTATCTTGAACCAACCCTTAGATTTTTATCTCCCTCTAAATTTAGGAGGCTTTGACTCAAGTCTCAATTCAAGCTTAGACTCTACCTCTTCTGATCTTTGTGACCCTTGGGCAAATTGTAGCACCTCCTTATGTTCTCAGGTGTGTCATCAGGTGTGGATGCTTCACGTTACATCATGCCACTGGATGCAAAGAGGAGATCAGGATGTCATTGACCAAGTGGTTCTCAGTATATACAACCAAGAAGAGCACTTAGTGGCTACAAGTCCCCATCCAGCTCCTGAGATAGTTAGAGGACTGTCCAGATAGGCATGGGAAAGTGGGCTCTGGCCCTGGTCATGAGTCTAACCTGAACCACAACACCATCTAGGTAGTAGCAAATCAAATATGTCATCTTGAACCTATGACATTTTAGTGAATTATTATTTTCTTTAAGAAATATTTAGGTTCTTATGACAACTTAAAAAATAGAGACATATATTTGAAGTCTAGAAGATTTTAAATGTAAGACTACAACCTCTGCTTTAAAAATTAAAATCGAAGTTCCATATATTCAAAAAGTTCATTGGAACCAATGGAAACATATTAAAGATCTAAAACTTCTGAAATTAATGGACAATGTTTGAAACAAAAATGCATGGAAATGGCAATTAACAGCATATAAACAATGCAGAAGAAAAAATTAGTGAGCTAGAAAACATCAGTGGAAACTATACAAAATGAAACACAGAAAAAAAAATTTACAGTGGCCTGTTGTATGTGTACTTGCAGTCCCCAAATGAGAGGAGAGATAAAGGAAGGAGAAAACAACTACAACAAAACTATTTGAAAATTTAATTATTGAAAAAATTTTAATTTAATGGAAACAGTACACTCACAGATTCAAGCAGCTTATAGGACACCAAGCACAACAAATATGAAGAAACTATATCAAGGTACATCACAATAAAATTGTTCAAAATCAGTATAAAGAGAAAATCTTAAAAGCAGCCAGAGGAAAAAAAAAGAAATGTTACGTACTAAGAACTGCACCACATTGATATCAAAATTAAGGATCAGTGTCACCAATTATTCATCATGTATAGAAGTCTTTGCCGAACTATTAAGAATGTCCTCTAGAAAGGAATCTGGACTGTGAACACTTTAAAGGCAGAAGCCAAGGCCCACGTATTTCTTTCTACATCACCCACTGATCATCCCTGTGATAGAAAAGTGTAACAGGAAAACTATATTCTTTTCAGTTTCCAAACTCATCAGTGCTTTGCAGGCTCCAGATTTTGATAGCATTTCCCAATCCCACAGTTCCTGCAGGTTGAAAGTTCTGTTTAAATTACCAGGCTCTGTGTATCATAAGCCAGGGGAGCTGCGGAGGTATTTCTGGGTCTTTAGGTGCTTGGAATAAGAAAATAATAAGATTAAAGATTTTATGCTATTTTGATATTCAAAAATTGCTATTTTGATATTCAAAAATTCTCTCCTACTTTGGATTATAAAATAAGAATTATGGATGAAGTATACATTTTTTTTCTGGTAATAATATCTTGCTGACTGTTTTCAGTACATAAACCTGCCCATTAGTTCAGCACAGTTATCCCCAGTGTGAAATGCATCCACACATATTGAGTAGACATTTATTTGGTAATTTTTTTCCATTACAAATAGAGACCAATAAGGAGTAGATGAAGTCAGTATCACAAAACTTATTCTGTATTTTCAATAGAGTTTAACAACTATGGCCATCAAATTTCCTAGTCCACATCAGATTTTAAAAAAAGCAAGGAGTACCTCTCATAAGCAGACATAAAGATCTGCTGAAGAAAGGAGAGTTAATACTGTGATGGCAAAGACAAAACACAAAATGTAACTATTAATATAAGGATGCAAGAGAGGAAAACTGCCAGTGGCCATTCAATGTCTTGCATATATTCTAATAACTGATAAGCATAATGCCGATCCTCTGTAATAAAGAAAATGTTAAACTATTACTAGTAGTTTTAAATATATTTTATTGATTTTTGTACAGAGAGGAAGGGAGAGAGATAGAGAGTTAGAAACATCGATGAGAGAGAGTCATCGATCAGCTGCCTCTTGCACACCCCCTACCGGGGATGTTGCCCGCAACCAAGGTACATGCCCTTGACTGGAATCGAACCCTTCAGTCCCCAAGCCGACGCTCTATCCATTGAGCCAAACCGGTCCCGGCTATTACTAGTAGTTTTAAAAGACAGAAATCATTTTAGAAATATTTCCATCCTAATGATTAAAGTAGAATTTTGACTCTCAGAATGGCAACTTTACTTATAAGAAGCACTAACCTCCCTTATTCTGTAACTTTAGTCAAATGGAATGGTCCTCAGGCTGATCAAGGGACTGCTAAGGAATATTTGTGAATAGTTAAAAATATATGTGCTTTCATAAGAGATTTATTATAAAAATGAAAATTCACGGGCAGGCATGAAATTCAATTACATTATCATCATCTGTTGTATAATTTATTAATTTACCATATTAAATGGTAAAAGATTATGTGGGGAGGGAAGATAATCCATAGGGATGATTTGAGAAAACCTTCATTAAGCCAAACACTGATAAATTGTTATAATTTTTAAATGACTGTAAAAGAACAACTAATGCAAGAAATAAGTAAATCTTTACTTTAAAAAAAGATTTCACTTAAGAAAATAATATTAAGGAAAAGATTAAATTAGGATACACATTAGCCTCAATTTTCATATAGATAGTGTTACTATCTGAAACCTAGAGTTCCAAGAATGTGATTTTATAGCAACTGTTGAAATTTAGTGATGTTTTTTTAGTGTCCTTAACTTTTTATGACCCAAACAAAAGCAGAAATGTGAAGGTAGAACACCAGTATTTTGCATAGAGATTGCTTTTTATAGACCTCATCTTCCAAAACAATAATTACTCTTTATGGGGGATCATGCACACTCCTTTTATGTGACAAATTGACTAGCAAACACATCTTCATAATGGCCCTAAATACTTTTTAAACTTTAAAAACCTCATTACTTGGTTTATGAGCATCAGAAAAACATAATAGCATTGTGATAGAAGCAAAGTGATAAATTTTTTCATAGCCAGCGTGGAATTCGGTTACCTTTCCCTCTATTACAATACAATGATGTTTTTGTCACGGAATAATAAAATTATTGGATATAGTAGGTTAAAGATTTGTAAAAATGTGACCAAATGTTCTTTGAACTCCCATTTATGGATTATTTTTTTATTGTAATTGAACTTTGTAAAAACCCAGGATTTGAACTGTAGAAATACATCTGCACTTGCTATTAAGCCAAACATTTTAGATATCTTTGTTTGGTCAACTTTTCTCCTAAAAAATGACTATTCTCAAGAATGTTTTTTTCCTTATTTACTTTTAAAATAAGGTAGACTAAATAGATATTTGAATATTAATTTTTAATATTTGATGAGCTAACATAATAGTAACATAGATGTAGTGAAAACAGAATCTTCTGCCATGTGGCCCAAATAAATAAAAAATGAGAGAACACAGAAAATATGAATAATGTCACCTTCCCTAAAGACATGGTCAAACAGCCTCAAGAAGGATGCTGAATTGAGCATAGCTTAGTTGTTCTCAGGGCCAAATTGAAATGTCCAGAACTTCCATTGACAATACTCAAAGGGTCTTTAACACAGAAGTTTAGAGGAGAGTAGAATGATTAGAACACTAAATTAATAACAGGAGTTATTAGATCAAAATTAATGGGTGAATTTGCAAGGAATTATATCTATGATTGCAGATGTATATAATTTACACTTGTCTTTTTGAGATGTGGGAGAGAATGGTAGTCAAGCACACCCACTCTAGGGCAGTGCTTCCTGGGTTCAGGACCTGATCAAACAGCTGCAGGACGAGGGACCTTGCCATGCCTCTCTATTCTCACCTGTAAAGTGGGAATAACACTAGTACATACATCACAGGGACGAGATGAGGATTACATGAATTAATGCATGTAAAAAAAAATAGAACTGTGCCTGGCATTTGGTTAGGTGTTAGATTTCTTATAGTTGAGATTATTTTTAGGGCTTATACCTCTCCTGAAATCCTCATTGGGAAAGCATTTCTGCAGGAGAAATTTGGGTCACATTTCTGGGCTGTTTTCTCCTGCACCGTTCTTTTTCTCCATCTTCTCTTTGTCATTCTTCCCCCGCCCCTTCCTACTCCTCTTCCTTCTCATCCTCTTGAATCATCAAGTATCCTCTCTTCCACTCATGGACTGTTCTTCTCAGAAGCATCCTGGTCCATGCCTGATAGCTCACCTCTCTGTACACATATGCTCAGTGCACAGTGCTCTCATTTTGACCAAAGATTTTCACTTCAGCTACAATGGGTTATGATATATGTTTCTCTCTTGTTTATGTTTTTATGCCAATTGTTTAGATGACAAAACTCTTGGCAACCCATGCACCTCTAACCATCACAGTGGATGATTTCACGGCAACTGACTTCTCTTTTGGAAAACTCTATAGGAACAGCATGGTTCTGAATTGAGTGTACCTGAAAACATAGCTCATACCTCATACCTCATTTCCCAACAACTTTGTCTGGTGACTTTCTCCTTTCCACCTCTAACTGGGGTTTACTCTTTTTTGATGGGTTACACTTTGATTACACATTACCTATGAGACTGGTCGATTATTTGGATGCTACTTAAAAGGCATCCCTATCATGTGAAAACTTGCAACACCTTTTGAGTGAAATGTAAGTAGTTTATTCTAAGTAATCTTATTTTAAACTGATATTGGGAATTTCCATACATGTACAAAATTAAAGTTTCAAAATAAAAGTTATTTTCTATGCAGCAATTGTAATATATGAGTTGAAATATGTTGTCTGGTTATCCCTTTTCACTTAAGGAGAACATACCCACTGTTGACCATTTTATGATACCAAAAGTGTATCTGTAACATTTTGGGCCATAGATAGCCTCTTTTATTTTACTTTATTTTATTTTATTTTTTTACTCTCAAGTAAGTTCCCACCAAAGCTGAAGGACTCTCATTCTTTTCCAAACATCAAATCATCTTCCCATTTCATGTGGGCAGGATATAATAGCTGGATGTCTAAGATGATACAATCACAAACTTCTCTTCTTGGCTCATTTCAAATATGGCCAAGTTCTTATCAATCAATGTTTGGAAGGATGGCAGGGGGAGCAAGGCAGTGTCTGGGAGACTGAGAACAGAGGATTAGGGGAGAGAAAATGAGATGCTGGCAGAGAAGGGGAAATTAGCATCATAAAGAGAAGCAGATTTGGAGTAACAGGACTGGGAGTGAGGGGCACAGTTGACCCTGATGAGCAGATTACTTAACAACTTTGTACTTCGATTTCCTCATCTACAAATATGAATACTGTCACCACCCAGCGTCTTGGGGAATTAGAAGAGGTCGCTAATGTACATCCAGCATCCCGAACTGGAATGAGGTGTGCCAGGGAAGAGGCCATGTCTAGGGCCCATGCATCAGCCTGCCCAAGTTCCCAAGAACATTGCCACTCTCTCCCAAAGGGCCAGCATATCTCCCCAGTATAAAGTCAATTGTTGATGTTCGTCTCACAATTGGTAAACATTGAGCCTACATTCTGATTTCCATTTTCTTCCTTTCTCTCAGCTCCCTTCTTAGTTTTAAGGATGAACCCAATAATACAGGCACTGCATAAGCTCATGTTTCCCTGGGCCCTGGAGAGCAGAGGGTTACAAGTATAGTGGAGGTGGTAGATGAAAATCATGTCTCAGCATTTCAAATTGAGAATAAAATTTCTGGAGAATATGAAGGAGGTTCTGTACTATGTTCACAGAGCATATCCCTCCAAATTCCAAGAAACAGCTTTCAAACCTGAATGTTTTTCCATGTCTAAGACTCCCTGATCACCCATTTTGCTGCTCCCTGAGAGCAGGTCTGTGAACTAGTTGATCGCAATCAAGAGATGCTTTAGTGATTCTAGCTGCTTCCCATCCCCTCAGGCTTCCTGGAGTGGGGGCAAGGGAAAGATTATGGGAGAGTTGATGGCGACAAGAAACTATGTGAATGTGACTTCTAACATAGGATGGGATGAAGTTGTGTGTTTTTTTAATCTCATATTTCATGCAGGGCTGGGCTGAGGATGTGGCAGGCATGGCATATGCCCTACGTTCACTACCAGAGGGGGCTCCCTGCCTGCCACAGGTGAGAGCCAGCTCTGGGGTGTCTGCCCCAATGGGGAAGGGGGGTGGAGGGGCATGGAGGGGGGTTGGGGATTTTGTTCCACCTTTGGTGGTCCCCTAGAGGTCTCAATCACAGAATCCAAAACTTCCTGTCATGAATGTCATTTTCTTATATCCTAAATGAAAATGTGACTGATTGAACCCTATATGGGTTTGTTTTTATAGTGCACGCTCTTTGGAACACCGTAAAATAGTATAAAGTGTATATGCAAATGTCTGAAGAATCTGAGCCTTCCTGCATTCTGTGACATGTATTGGAATGCTTTATCATTCTGAATATTGCAAGTACATTTCAATAATAAGATTAGGTGTGCTTTATTAAAATAGATAATCACCAACCCAAAACAAATTATGTATCTTATATTATAAATTACACATGGAACTATAGCCCTTGACACAACACATTTTGATCTAATTTTTTTTTTTAGTTTATAATTTTTACTATTGATTTTATTTACCTCTTCTCACCCCTACCGTTTTCTGACTTATTTAATGTTTATTTTTCAGCAAAGAACTTATTGATGATATGTTTGCCAACTCACCTCTGTCCCCTACCTCCAAATTAAATCTCTGTTTTTAAACCAATCACCCACACTCAATCTTTTATCATTTTTCTACTTTTCCCAGGGCTCGTTTTATTATGCCTCTTAATGTCAGTAGCCCCCTTTCTGTACCAAACCTTCACATCTCAAAACATCAAATTTACACATCATGCAAATGGCTACAAACGGCTTTCCAATCTAAGGAAAGGAAACACTGGTACCAGAGAAGCAAAATGTGGCTAGCTGACTCGCACCCTGAAACCTTTACCATATGTTGAAGGCAAAATATAACATGAAAACATTTAAATGCATGTCTAACCTATTCAACCTATTTTACAACTAGGTTTTGATAATCCAACCTTTTTGGTTCGTGCAAAGGACAGTCCGAAAACCTGTACATGCTATTTGCTCTTAGGATTTGCCTCCTCTATTCCTAAGGTCTTTGCCTTCATCTTTTCGCAGTGGTCAGTGTACATCCGAGCTGCTGTCCGGAAAGAGAAAGGCCTGCCCATCCTTGTGGAGCTGCTCCGAATAGATAACGACCGTGTAGTGTGCGCAGTGGCCACAGCACTCCGGAACATGGCCCTGGACGTCCGAAATAAGGAACTCATTGGTATGTTCCTTCCAATTCTCTCAGTGTCTCAGTTTTTCAATGAAAATATTTCCTGGCAGGGTCCATGTGGTTGAATCTACTCGCAGAACATAGGTGCATGCAGAAATAGTGCACTTACTAGGGGCCACGTTTTTTCCTAGTTCTCCTAGCTTAAATCCAAGGACCCGAATTATCTTTTAGAATTCAGAGGAAAATGCAGTATTTGTTGGCATTTCTAATCCTTGCAAATTAAAAACTATGTTCAGCACTAGATACCATCTTTTTGATCCTTTAAATCCCTGTTAAGCTTTGTTTTCCATGTGGTGAACAGGAATTGTAATGGTATCCACCCCACTTAGCTTCTCCTCTCGAATTTGTCACTTAGTTTGAATGAGAACATACTGGCTATTTTATCTTATTGTTTACTGAATCCTCTTTCTTTAATTTGGTATTCAAGAAATAGGGAGGGTCTTTTATTAATGAACAGTAAAGAGGTCAGACATTCGTCTAGATATTCAACAAATGTATATCATAACCTTCATTGCCTGAGGCCTGTTCAAGGTCCAGAGATTATTACGTCAATGAGCAAAGCAGACAGGAAGCCTGCCCTTGTAGAGTTTACATCGGGAGAGCAGAGATGTACCATAAACAAGATGCACACATGGATCCCATTGTGTGTTAGGAACATTCTAGGGGGGAAATGGACCTGGATAAAGGAGACAGTAATGTTAGGTTGCCATTTTTTAAACTGTAGTTAAATTCATATAACATACAATTAACCATTTTAAAGTATGCCACTGGTACCGAATTCCAAAACTTTGTCATCGCCCTGAGGAAAACCCTGTACCCATTGAGTAGTTACCCCCACTTTCTCCTCCTCCAGTTGCTGGCACTCTCCAATGTGTGCTCTGTTTCTAAGGATTTTCCTATTGAGGAAGTTTCATGAGATGGGATCATAGACTATGTGAGCTTTTGTGTTGGCTTCTTTTACTTAGGATAAGGAGTTGTGATTTTAAATGGGATGTCAAGCTCAGTATAGGAGTTGTTGGGAAGGTGACATCTGAGCCAGGACTTGAATGAGGAAAGACTGGGCCATGTGGATATTTGGGGGGTAGAACATCTACATTGAAGGGCTGCCTCTGGGGAAGGCTTCCTAGAAGAACAGGAAGCAAGCCAGAGGCTTCAAGGCCTTCATGGGACCTGGTGTGCCTGAGGCAGTGAGGGATAGGAGCCCAGCTAGAGAGGCCTCCTTGTCCCTCCTTTTTCAGTGGGAGGATGGGAGGCCAAGGATGATTGATGCCTAGAGAACTGAGGAACCACAGAGACCTACCTGGGAAGAGACACAAATCTACCAAAGACCATCTTCCTAATGTGGGCATCTTGGATCAAAGAGATCATCCCAGAAGGCTCATTGGTCAGTCAGTGCACAGCAGGAAGCCTGATAAGACTGAATGCCAGTAATAGGTGTCAATGAAGGTCAAGCAGCAGGGAGCTGGACCACCCCCATGCCAAAGGCTCAGGGTATTTAGCCTCTGGGAATCTGGGAGAAAGCAGGTAGGTGAGTGGGCCAAAGGGCAAGATTTTATTTCTAGGGCAGTTGGACTACTAAGCGTGGATCCAAATTTGATACACAGATTTTACATAAATACATAGGTTCATTTTTGCTATTCAAATTCCTGAGCGCGGCACACTAGGCCCTTTGCAATTTTTTGCTGCCATTTCATAATACCCATTATTTCTTCCAATAAACATCAAATTTGTGCAGTGTGCATTTATTTACAAGAAAACCAGATTTCAAATCTGTCTCTAATACATACAATGATTTGTTATACTTGCAGTACATTATTAAGCATGAAACAAACATAATTTGATGTTTATGTTTGAATTGAATTTAAATATTATTTGTGCATTTTGTAAAGTACTGAAACTAGGCCATTAGCTCAAAAGGTCAAGATACTCCCTCCCTGCCTGCTTTCCTTTTCTGTACATAGTTGTTTCCGATAAAACCCCACTGCTCCTCTAGAAAATGAAGGAAAAATCAATAGCTAATCAGTCTACTGCCTGGATACTCTCCACTCGGTATTGTGAGTTTGCGTGTTTTATTTCTCCTGGTGGATTAAAATATAACAAAATTGGGAACTATTAATTGGTTTTCTAGCTTCCAGGCATCCCTTCTTCCTCGGAAACCAGTTATCTAGCGCTCTGTCTGAGGCAGGAACATTTGGAGCTCCATATTGCCCATGTTCAATTAAGCCTCTACTATCTAATGTCACCAGACAGGAACAGGAGCCAATTACTTAAAAATAGGAGTGAAAATATCTCAGTCACAGGCTTTATGGAATCAATGACATTTTTCTTGAATTAAAAAAAAAAAAAAAAGCAGAATTTAACACACACCATTTAAAATTTTTAAAAACACACTATTGTATTCTATCTAGGAGAAAAGAAAGACCTTTGCTCATTCTCTTACTTTAAATAATGTATCAGTGGTAAATTTGTAGAAAAATGCTACATAGAATTTTACATACTGAAAGGAAAGTGACAATGATTTTGAACCAAGAACAAAGCAATAAACTTCTGCATCTTCTCTTTTCTACAAAATCTCACTCAAAGCTTTGGTGGCCTTCCATAATTTCATGGTGTTGAAAATCATCTATTATATATTCTGACAACTCCCAAATAGATATCTCTAGTATGAATCCCACATCTCTGGGTCCAACTGTCTGTCCAATATCTCCACTGGATATCTAACAGGCATTTCAAGTTTAACATCTCTGTACCTGAGTTCCTTATCTTTTCCCCAAGCTCCATCCTTCCACAGTCTCCCCACAACAGTGAATGGCAATTTGTCTTTGCAGTGGTCCAGGCCAGGCACCTTACACACCTTTGGACTCCTCACACTTCATATCCAATCCATCAACAAATCTGGTCTTCCTTCTGTGTTTTCTCAGAATCTGACACTTCTCACCTTCATTGCTTTTCTTCCACCTCCCATCATCTCTCAGCTGGTTTATTACCATGGCCATCTACCTGATCTCCCTGCCCACCCTTTTTTAAAAATGTGTTTTTATTGATTTCAGAGAGAGGAAAGAAGAGGAAGAGATAAAAACATCAATTATGAGAGAGAATCATCAATCAGCTGCCTCCTACAAGCCCCCTACTGGGGATTGAGCCTACAACCCAGGCATGTGCTCTGACCAGGAATCAAACTGTGATCTCCCAGGTTATAGGTCGATTCTCAAGCACTGAGCCACACCAGCTGGGCCTGGTCTCCCTGCTTCTACACTTGCCCCCTACAGCTACTCTCAATGCAGAAACCAGAGTGTCCTGTTAAAACCTTAGAGCAGGTCATTTCTCCACTCAAAACTCCCAATAGCTCCTTCTCTCTCTCACTGTAAAACGAAGGCTTTTACAGCAAACACAACTCTATACGATGCAGCTTGCTGTCTGTCCCTCTCTAACCTCACCTCTCTCACCTCCCTGTCACTAACTTTATTGAGGCCACTGGGTCACTATGGTTCCCATAGAACATGAGCACAGTCCTGCCTCAGGCCTTTGAACTTGGCTGTTTCTTCTGGCTAGAATCCTCTTCCTCCAGGGGCGGCTGTGCCTCAGTTCTCATCCCATTTAGGTCTTTACCCAAGTTTCAGTTTCCCAGCAGAACTTTTTCTGGTCTCCATTTCATTCTACCACCAACTCTTCTTCTCCCTGCTTTATTTTTCTCCACAGCTCTGATTACCTTCCAATATACAGCATATTATGTATTTACCTGGTTACCTGGCCATGCCCCTCACTGGGATGGAAGCCCATGAAGGGCAGAAAAGTCTGTCTCATTTGCTCACTGATGTAGCCCACCTGCCTAGAGCAGCCCTCGATCCACAGTAGGAACATCACAAATATTTGCCAAATGACTGAACTAAATATTTTCCTATCTGACCATCATTTTGAATTGAATTCCAGATCAGCATATCATTAAGTAAGCAACTTAAATAAAACAACCAAAGAAAATGATTTTATACTAATAAAGAAAATCATCCAAAAGCCAGTTCATTTTCCTACTGAGGTTTACCAGACGTATACAGGCGCTTCGGAGGTCAAAAGGAATCCAGTTCCTTCCATCACTGGTTCTGGGGGTTTGTTTTAAATTATAATTCTTCTTAGATCATTCTTTTAGTTTGAGGTGGAGAGAGGAGCTGCTACCACACTCAGGTCAGTGAATGGTTTATCTTCCTTCGACTCTGTTATCAGGAAAATTCCAGATAAGCTATTGAACAACCATCACCCTACCTCATCAGCTCTAATGAGGATCATTTAGTAGCACCAAGAGGAACATAACACTCTGCCTCTCCCATATCCCACTCAGGCTGTTCCCATGCTCCTGAGATGTCCCTGCCACCAGGCGGACAGTGAGTGTGTAGCTAGGTCTTTGTGTTCTGAGTGACTTGGTGCAGTCGTCCGGCTTAATGACCATCCATACATTTTTTTGTAATCTTCTGAAAATATTAATCATCCTTCCAAGTGTCACTTCATCATTCAAAAAGGTACTTGTTATTGTTTTTTTTAATTAATAGTAATAATTTACTTCAGTGAAAAGAGAAAACAACTTTATATCACTTTAACCAGTCTGCAAATTGCCCAACATGTCAGCAGGTTGACAGTTCCCGATGAAGATGGTAGATATCTATTTTAGCCAAATCCACCCCCCACTCTGCCAACAAAACAATCCAAATAAGACCCCAAGAAAAAAAATACAGCACATACTAGTATAAATACTAGAGAGGGGAGATTCTAGCACTTGGCCAAGATTGATCCTTAATCCATGGCTACTCATCCATGGCAAATAACTCTGAAGAGAGCTATTTCCTAGGAGCTGTTTTGTTTTGCTGCATTTCCAGGCAGCACAGAAAATCAAACGGCTGTATCAAAATAGTTAGAACCCAGGCACACACATGTGTGCTTCCCAGTATGTAAGGTTATCTGTCCCGTGAATGCTTTGGTGTCATATGGGAGGCGCTGTCCAC